TGGCGCACGGAGCCCGCCGCCCAGATTAATTCCACCTCTTCCTGCCCCCGACGCCCTGGGAGCTCTGGAATCCACGGGTGAACGGGGGGTGGGAGGGTGGGGTTAAGAATGGGGTTTTGGGGCGCCTGGGTGGCTCAGTCGGTTGGGCGACTGCCTTCGGCTCAGGTCATGATCCTGGAGTCCTGGGATCGAGTCCCGCATCGGGCTCCCCGCTCGGCGGGGAGTCTGCTTCTCCCTCTGACCCTCCTCCCTCTCGTGCTCTCTGTCTCTCATTCTCTCTCTCTCAAATAAATAAATAAAATATTAAAAAAAAAAAAAAAAAAAGAATGGGGTTTTGCCGGTTACTTGCAGACCCACCAATAAAAGGTAGTGGGAGAAGGAAGGCTGGAATAGGCTGTCGGGGTACGCGGGACGCCGGAAGTGGGGGAAGAGCTGTACCCGGTGAGCTTCCGGTGGGAAGGATCAGCCGCAGCTGGGGGCGGGGTTTGTTGGGGGCGGGGTTTGTTGGGGGCGGGGCTTGCTGGGGGCGGGGCTTGAAGGACGAGACGGGAGGAGGCTTCAGGGTGCTGCGAGGCAGAGGAGGGTGGGCAGGGGAGTTAGCGCGTTCTTAAATGGGAGCGGGGAGAAGAGGGTTTTCTCTAAGCCTCATCCTCCGATTTGCCGAAATGAAGAAAAAGAAGGAAGTATTTGGAAGTATATCTGATATACAGAGAAACCAGAAAGCACGGTCTGAAGACAGTATCCACTGCGAGCATCTGGGCATTAAAGGGCCTTGAGGATTGATTTAACAAGTATTTATTAAGCCTCTACTATGTTCCAGGCACTCTGGGTTGTTAGGGATCCAACAGTAAACAAAGGAGATGAAGATCTCTGTCTTCATAGAGCTTACACTGTAATGGGGGAGATAAACATCGAACAAAATGAATGAGTTAACCCCGCAGTGTTTCAGAAGCTGGTGTGTGGGCACAGGGGCATCTAGAAGGGATGGGAATGAAAACCGCAAGGTGGGATATGGTGTGAAATGAGTGAGCAGCCAGGGGGCACCGAGGCTGGTTTGCTCAATTAGGATGTGGGGGTAATGCCATGGGAGGGCTGGGGCCCTGGGATTCAGTGGCAGCTGTGGCTACATCTCCAGCTTTTGAGAAGTGGAGAGATTTCTCTAAGACTCTAGGAGAGGAAACTGAGGCACCCAAGTGAAGATCTTTCTCTGGGAATGATGAGGGCTGGCGGTGCAGATAGGCTCCCAGTGGGCTGATGTCAGGGGAGGCCCTGAGGGGGCAGCGCACACACCATGTTGATTTTCTCTGGCCTGGCCTCCTAGCCTGAACAAACTGCCCGCAATGTGGGTGTGAAAGACAAGGATGCTGTATGGTTTGAATTGTCTCCCCCAAAACTCATATGTTGAAGTCCTAACCCACGAGATCTCAGAATGCGACCTTATTTGGAGATACGGTCTGAACCAAGTTACAATGAGGTCATCAGGGCGGGCCCTCCTCCAACATGACTGGTATCCTTATAAAAGGGAGAAATTCACACAGACGTGCACGTGGGGAGAGCACCACGTGAAGACCAGAGTCCCACTGCTGCAGGTGAAGCCAGGAGAGAGGCCTGGAGCAGAGCCTTCCCGGGCACCAGTCAAGATCGTGGCCCTGCCAACACCGCGATCTAGGACTCAGGACTCCAGAACCAGGAGACAGTAAACTCCTGCTATTTAAGCCACCCAGTCTGTGGCCCCCTATTACGGCAGCCCCAGGAGACTGACACAGACACCAGAGAGAGCACCGTCTTCTCATTCCTCCTGGACAGAGAAAGAGCTAGTGATGGAATGGACAGGAAGATGGAGGTGAGAGCGTTGGAGTTGCTTCTGATACTAAGATGGAAACTTTCTTCCTTAAAATAGAAGCAGACAGAGGGCTTTTCTGGGTCAGATCTGATCAAGAACATGTGGTTTGCGGGGGGCGGGGGAGCCTCTGAGGGTGTCTGGGTGGCAAAGTCGGTTAAGCATCCGACTCTTGGTTTGGGCTCAGGTCATGATCTCAGGGTCGTGAGATGGGGCCTTGCGTCTGGCTCTGCTCAGCGTGGTGTCTGCTTGGGATTCTCTCTCCCTCTGCCCCTCCTGTTCATGGTCTCTCTCTCTAAAATAAATAAATATTTTAAGAGAAAGAAAGAAAGGAAGAAAAAGAAAGAAAGCAAGCCTCTGAGATGATTTCAGTTGGAACCATTTGGGCCTCTCGTGAAAAGCAGAACTTTAAAAATTCTTGGTCTGGTGCTACAGTGAGTACTTGTCAATATCTGTTCAGCGCATCACAGAGCCGAAGTCTGGGCTCCCGGGACCAGGCAGCCACACACGGCGTACCCCGTGCTGAAGGCTTTTACAAAACGGTTTCAGTGCAGGCAGGCTGTCAAAGGATTTCAAAGCTGCTACAGCAAAGAGTTGGAAAACATGCCCTGTGCTGGGAGGCAGAGGAGGTTTGGTGTCTCTTTTATTTTCTTTTTTTTTTAAACTGTTTAAGCCCGAATGGCATCTGCAGATCCAAGTGGGGGAGAAATGCAGATCTGTGCACTTCGGCACACGTGGTCCAGCTGAGCAGAACATCCACGGGGCCAGCCAGCCGATCCGGGCTGCGGCCGGCGCCTCCCACCTGCATCCAGCGGAACACGTGCCCAACGCACGCACAAAACAGTATGGATATTTAGACACGAGAGTACTTTATAATTAGAAAATAATTGTTGCTTCTTTTGGCATTCTTTTTAAGATGAATCTGTTGAAACCCTTTGCTAATATGGGGCTTCTCCGAAGCGTGGCTGGGGAGTTGCCAGGACCATAAGACAACGTGAAATATTAACACAAGCCAGCCATCTGCACATCCGAAATGAGACCTCTCCAGAATATGATGCCCATTGGCAAGAAGGCATCAGCCCTCTGCCATTCTCCTTAGTGATAAACCTGCTGTTGAAAACACAAGCCCATTTTAATGAGACGTTCATTTATTTTTGTCATCTGCTCGTCACAGAGCTCCACGGTTGAGCCCTTTAAGGAAACTGAGACACTTAACGTATGTGACCACCCTGTGTGCCTCGGGTACAGAATCCCCAGCTGGACCCACTAGGCCGGCCCACTTAAGAAGACAAACAGGAAAATCAATGGAAACTGAACAGGTTACTGAGCTGAAACAATGGCAACCAGCGTGGGCATTTCTGAGATCCCAGAATGATATCTTTGGTGTAAGGGAGCCCAGTGCACACTCACCTTATTCGTGCAAGGAAAACAATCTATCATCTCAGAACGGGTCTGTGTTTGGGTGGTGGACAGATGGCCACGCAGCCCCACCCACCGTGGGCACCCCTTCTGTCCCTGGTCTTCCCAATGTTTTCAGACAGATGAAATCAGATGACAATAAACAATAAGGGCACTTTGAAAAAAAAAAAATCTAAGCATCCACGATCCCCTTGCTATTGTGAAACTTTCTAGAACTCCACGGCTAAATACATCTGTAGGATCTCCATGGGGAAAGAAGACTGTAGGCTGCCTCATAGAAAAATGAGCATTTTATGATCTGTGGCCAGGGAATCACTTCAGGAGGACGGCTGGAGATGGCAGATTTTCTGAAAAGATGAGATGTGACTGGCTGAAGGGATTTCTCCAAATCCCTTTTCAAAACAAAAATCCCATGTATGTTCTTTTTTTAACCCAAAGCTGGTGCCCAAGGAGAACTGTATTTTAGAGCAGAAGCCAGGCATCTTCTGTGGAAGCCGGCTGCCCCTCAAGGGAGGCCGCCCGGACCCATCCGGGTGCTCCCACGGCCTCGAGCAATCGCCTCCTGTGGTTTCACACATCCCCACAGAGAAGTAGATGGTGCTCCTCCGGGGCCCTGTGGTATAGACACCCCCTCTACGTGTGGTCCCCGGCCGGCATGGAGAGCCCCTGGGAGTGTGCTAGAAATGCAGAATCTCAGGCCCCACCCCACATGTGCCGAATGAGAACCTGCATTTTCACAAGATCCTGGGTGACCCGTGTGCACTGTCAACTTGAGAAGCGTTGCTCACACTGCTCAGAGGTGACCTAATGATATGGTCAGGGAGTAGTTAAAATCATCTTCAAAAACCATTCAAGAAGGCTGCATGCTGTGGAATTCCAACTACTGTATATGATATTCTGGAAAATGCAATACTGCAGAGACAGTCAAAGACCAGTGACTGCAAGGAGTTGGTGGGGGGAGGAAAGATGAATTGGGGGGCACAGGGGATCGGTAGGGCAGAGAAACCACTCTGTATGGTACTGTCATGGTGGATTCATGTCATTACATGTGTGTTGAACCCAGGGAAGGCACAGCAGGAAGAGTGAACCCCATGTAAACTATGGACTCTAACGAATCACAATGTACATTTGCTCCTTGAGTGTGATAAACGTGTCGCACAGATGCACGATGACAGTAAAAGGGGTAAACAGCGGAGTGGGGGTGAGGGAGCATATGGGGACCCTCTGTACTTTCCACTCATTTTTCTGTAAGCCCCAAACTACTCTCAAAACTAGTCTGTTAATTCGACAACCACCACAACAAACCAGTGGGGCGGGCAGACATTCTCTCCCATTCTGGAGTGTATACAACCATCCCCGAGCTGTCTTTCTGTCATTTCTTCTTGCCTGACGTGAACGGCCGCTACCATTCTGCCCTATACCCCTGTGGGACCCCCCACTGGCCGGGAAGGAGACACTGTGGGCTGTGGGGAGGGGCGGGGGTCCCCATGAGCTGGGGTGCCCCAGCCAGGCTCTGCACCATCTTCCCGTGTCCTACGGCGGGGTCAGCCCTGGCTTTACAGAGCGGAGCCTGATGGAACCTTCGCTGGGACGTAGGAATGGGGAGAAAACACAGATGCATCGATGTCGTGCTCCAGTAAGCTGAGTAGGAGATCACCAAAGTACTCATCCTGGGGGAAGGCAGAATACAGCACAGATTCTAAAGAGCAAGTGTCTGTGCCAATCTATGCATCTCACACTCTTTGTTTAAATATGAATTTAATTAAGCACAGAATTCTAGCCGGGTGTGTAAAGAATGAAGGAAATGGCCTTGAGTGTTAGAAACCACCTCTGGCAACAATAGAACATTCCACACTAGCCTGACGACTTGACCCAATGGAGGAATTCACGTTTTCCGTGTAGACAGCAGCTGGGTGCGTCTAGAAATCCCCAGGTTAGGAAGGGGGGGCCGGGAGGGTTTGGGCTGTGGACAGACCCTGCTCAGCACCAAGTCCTTGACAACACAACCACGTGCAAACACACAAGTAGACAAAGAACGTGAAGTCGGTAAACATGCTAACGGTGGGCACAAAGATGGACTGTCTTCTGGGAGTGACAGCTGATTCCGTCTCTCCCCACGTCTGGTCACAAATCCTGCCCCGAAGTCGTTTCAGGGAGGCCAGCAGGTGATGGGTTTGGAAGCAGGGTGGCGCCGGGGCAGCGGGGAATAGGACGGTCACACCGCTGTGCGTGACGCAGGCTACACGTTCTCTCTTGAGTGTCCCCAGATTTCCGCCCACAAGGCTGGGTGCTGCCGGCTGGCGGCCATCAGTTCACAGGGGACGCGAGGTCTTCCTTCCTGCCGCGGGGGGCCCGGGCGCCATCTTGACGGTTGTGGAGTTGGGCTGAGTTTTGTTTTTACTGACACGTGGCTCCTTCTGTCTCTGGCTGATGTTTTGGAGTGATCTCAGCCCCAGCATTTTACAATACTTGTTACACTGGTGTAGCGCTTCGAACTGGTCGATGAAGGTCATGGAGCAGTTGCCTTTAAATCCTTTGTACCTGTGAGTTTGGGTAGAAGGACACAGACGTTTTTAAAAACAGGACACTTCACCAGCTTTAACAGGGGAGACTAAGGGTACATGGAAAATATCCTGATTCCCACTCTAGACAAGAAGGGCTAAATGTTTGTCACAACTATTGAAAGGAGAAACAAACCCCGTGGGACTGAGCAAAGGCAAAGACCCACTGGCATGCAGAGTACAGACCCAAGGCCTGGGATTACACAAGTCTTCTAGATGCTTATGGTTCCAATAAAACAGCATGTTATTGCTCTTTTCCTTTTAGTCATAGTGACTAGTGCTGGACCATCTTGATAAAAATTAGACCTCCTGGTGGTCTGAAAGCTACCCCATCCCACCCAGAGGTTCTAAATAAAAAATTCTACAACTTTGGGGCTGGAAACAATGATTTCGTTTAGACCTTTTGATTTATAGTTAAAGGAATTTAGGCCCAGAGATTCTGGCACCAGCCAAGAAAACTAAGCAAGTTGGTACAAGAGCCAAGATTAGGATGCAGCTCAGCTCTGTCCTGTGTCACCCCGCCTCCCCCTTTGTCATTAGTGGGCTCTAGAAGGGACCACACTGACCTGCCTCGGAGTAGTCTCAAGGGTTGCTCCTTTGGGTTGGGACATTTAATACTCAAACTGTAAATGACTTTTTTCACATCCCAATCACAGAAGGTTAGTGTCCTCCTTGAGGGGACAAGTCTCCAGGCCCCCAATCTCCCCACCCACCAAGAAAGCTGTTTGACAGGTTGTTGAGAGGATGAAATGAGAAAATCCACACAGACCACCTAGCTCAGTGTCTGACATGCTGTACAGATTCAGTTAGGGTTGACCAAGTTATTTAATGATCAATATTATAACATTTCATCCTGTGGAAGGGATGTTCAAGCCAAGATTGAAGAGTGAGGGAGGTAAATGGGGGAGCTGGGGTGAGCCTGGCATTAAGGAACAGTCAGCATAATTTGTAGGGCCCCGTACAAAATGAAACCATGAGCACCATGTTCAAAAATTATGTAGACTTTTGAGACAACAACAGTCGAGCACGCGTTCAATGAAGCCCAGGGTCCTTCTGAGCGCAGGTCCCAGCGGACCACACAGATAGCATGCCCACGAAACCAGCCCTGCTGGGTGGGAGAGAGCCCTGGGCACATCTGATTAATAGGACAAACAAGAAATCGGTCTCTTTCATTGGCTGGTAGAAACCACAATGGTGAACAAGCCTGGAATGAATGGGGACCAGGACTGTACACTTTTCCCTATGAAATCCGAGCTGGGTTTGAAGCTGTTAAGGGAGTAAAAGGTTCCTTTCATCCCTGGGGCCAGAGCATCAGGCAGCAGCTCTAACTTGATGAATCTGTTACAAATCCAGCCTGCTCCCTCCTCCTCCTCCCTGCAAGGGAACACTCTGCCCCTGGGAGCCCACAGTCCATTTGCTTGTGAAAAATGACTCGGTTCCTAAAAGCCAAGCTCCCTCATTAAAGGAAAAGTCAGCTGGAGACAGGAGTTGAATCCAGCAGAGTAGAAAAAATTCCACTGCCAACCACGTCATCTATACATCTCTATCTTCTGTAGGACACCGCGAGAAAGGCTGAACTGTCAGGCCCACTGCGTCCCTCTGGTGCCTGAGCGCTCCCAGGCAGGATGCGGGCAGGATGCGAGGCGGCCTCGGCCTGTGCTTGGCAGACATGCTGGAGAGCCCAAGCCCATCCTTCTGCTGGAGGGAGGCCTCGCTTCTCACACAAACTAGGAAGGTCATGGGCAGGGGCAACCTCCCTGCCTGGAAACAAGTCGTGGTCACCTGTCTCAGGCTGCCTTGAGGCTTTTAAACATTCGGACAATATCCAGTCTCTGCAGCAGGGTCTGCCCTCCTGACTAGCCCTGGGGAGCCCAGGCCTGTTCCCAGAAATCTGGCCCCTTCTTTTCCTCTATGTCACTCTTTCTTTAGACTCCTCTTGGAAAGCCAAGGTAGGGCAGCAGGGACTGGGGCTGGTTTTTACCATAGACGGCCGTGGGCCTGGTGAGGCCCTAGATGGAAGGCTGCTTTGCTTGGTCTAGGAGCCCCTTTCTCAGCCACCAGCTCAAGTGCCTTTCTGTGGGGCCTTCCCTGGCCCTAGCCCCACCACGAGAAGAAATATCTCCAACGTCTTCCCTGTATCTTTAGGAGAACTACATCCACTTCTCAGAATTCAGGGGATGCCTCACATCTCTACACAGACTGTGATCTCTCCCAGGACACTACCTGATTCCCAACATACCCGTCCAGGGGAGGCTCTTCAGTAAAGGTCAAGGATAAAACGGATACCAGCCCCATCCTCAGAGCTGCCTCACCTCAGCCCAGAGGGTCTCCAGAGCACATTTCTGAACTTCTCTTTCTCTCTGAGTCTCATTTTGGACCTTCCACTTGGCATGCCATGCAATAATGAACTTCCATCCCTTACCTATCTCACATGTAGATCTTTTGCGCTACCTAGCATCTGCCGAATTAAAAATCTTTCTCCGTTCTCAGTTTAGTTTTGGTCTCAGTCAGGGATGCTGGGCTCCTGCCACGACTTCCTATTCTCTCAAACTCACAGCCATGGCCGATGCCTTAAGAGAAAACAGGGCAACATCCTTCGTGTTCCTAGATCAATTAACCCAGAATGTTTCAAAGGACATAAAGCTCTCCTATACCACCAAGCAATGGGGAATACAAGTTCTCCTGCCTCTGGTACCCCTTGCAAGCCCCATGTGTCATCTGCCACTAGCAGGAGTAGAGGAGACCATGAATCTCAAGTAGCCTGACATCTCTCCAGCATGATCCCCACTGCACTCACCTCTTTTGTTCTTGTTAGATGGATGTACTAGGTTGCATAGTGTCCCCTCCAAGAGGCATATCCTTCCTGGAACCTCAGAACATGGCCTTATTTGGAAACAGTGTTCTTATAGATGTAATTAAAATGAGGTCACACTGGAGTAGGATGGGCCCTTAACCCAACACCCTGGTGTCTACGCAAGAAGGGGAGAAAACATACAGGCACACCAGGGAAATACCACGTGACGACAGAGGCAGAGACGGGAGCGGGACATGTGCAAGCCTGGGAAGGCCAAGGACTGACAACCAGCTTGGGAAGCCAGGAGAGAGGCGTGGGGCACATCCTCCCTCACAAGCTCCAGAAGGAACCTACTCTGCTGACACCTACCTGGACTTTGGACTTCTGGCTTCCAGAATGCGAGAGAATATATTTCTGTTGTTTTAAGCACTAGTCTGTGGCCGTTCGTTATGGTGGCCCCAGGAATCTAATACAACAGAATAAAGAGAACCTTGTAGAACTTTTTCACACATTTCCATTTTTAGAAAGCTTAGCTCTGTGGAATTTTACTAACTGGATCTTTTTATCCTTAACCTCAAATTAGTATAATTTTCTAGCCCATCACTTTATGTTCATCTGTCCGTCCTCCCTCACGATCTCCCTCAAGTAGAACCATCCATTCATTCCACCAAACATCACCCAATGGGGTCTTTTCTTAAATATCTTTCCCCTCGGATGGGAGTGGTGCCTACAAATTACCCAGGGATCTTGTTAAAATGCTGGTTTGGGCTCAGTAGGCCCGGGGGTCTGCACTGGGGTCCGGGATTCTGCATTTCTAAGGAGGTCCGGGGGTCTGCATTGGGGTCCGGGATCCTGCATTTCTAAGGAGGTCCGGGGGTCTGCACTGGGGTCCGGGATCCTGCATTTCTAAGGAGGTCCGGGGGTCTGCACTGGGGTCCGGGATCCTGCATTTCTAAGGAGGTCCGGGGGTCTGCACTGGGGTCCGGGATCCTGCATTTCTAAGGAGGTCCGGGGGTCTGCACTGGGGTCCGGGATCCTGCATTTCTAAGGAGGTCAGGGGGTCTGCACTGGGATCCGGGATCCTGCATTTCTAAGGAGGTCCGGGGGTCTGCACTGGGGTCCGGGATCCTGCATTTCTAAGGAGGTCCGGGGGTCTGCACTGGGGTCCGGGATCCTGCATTTCTAAGGAGGTCCGGGGGTCTGCACTGGGGTCCGGGATCCTGCATTTCTAAGGAGGTCCGGGGGTCTGCATTGGGGTCCGGGATCCTGCATTTCTAAGGAGGTCTGGGGGGCTGCTGATGCCACTGGTCCAGCACCCCCACCTGGAGGGGCCAAGAGATGAACTGAAGTGTGATGACTTCAAGTCAGCCCTACTGCATCTTGGAGACACTTTTCTATTTAAATTGGAACACAGGCATATGGTTGTTCATGAAAGTTGTGTCATACAACATCCTAGGAAGCTCTCTATTTCCACAATCCTGTCCTGACTCAGCACAGATTTATTCAGTACTCATTATGCGTTGGCAGCCATGCTAGGCTGACTTCTTGATAATCAGACTCATACAAAAATCGCCAGCTGATGGCATGGCCAGCTTTTCTCTCTCTCTCTCTTCTCAGCTCATCATGGCTTCCCTGTGCCATGGATTGCCTCCAAACACACCTGGAGAGGGCACGTGGGTGGAGCCAAGTGGCAGAAACTTCCAGATCTGGCTGTGTTGAACGAATTAAGGTTTTTGTCTGACTTACTAAGGGACCCGTTAAAACTTCGTAGGGCAAGAAAAAGCAATAGAGAATTCCCCCACTTTAGTTAATCCTTTCAGAAGCAAGCCAGAGGCTATTTAGAACAAATTTTAGTTTGATATCCTTTCTGAAGGAACTTTTAATTTATATGGGATGGCTACAAGGACCCAGAATTCAGGGTGAGGAGAGGGGTGAGGAATTGAAATAAACCTCTAGTTTTGGGGGGGGTGTGTACAAGAAAGCCAGGGCTGGGTTTATGAACAGATAGAACAGATTGCTATCTACATGTACAAAAGGAGGGACCCGGGGCAGCCCCCCACTCTGGAACCATCTGGTAATTCCTACAGTTCCGTCAATACCCTCCATTTCTTCATTTGTTCCTTCATTAGGCACCAGCTAGACTGCAGACATGATGGGGAGATTAAAAAGGATTAATAAGGTACGTG